TCAGTCAGTCAGTTGAGCGTCCGACTTTGGCTCAGGTCATGATCTCACGGCTGGCTCGTGAGTTTGAGCCCTGTGTCGGGCTCTGTGCTGACAGCTCAGAGCCTGGAGCCTGCTTCGGGTTCTGTGTCTCCTTCTCTCTCTCTGCCCCTCCCCCACTCATGCTGTCTCTGTCTCTCAAAAATAAACAAACATTAAAAAAATTCTATTTTAAAAAGAGGCAGTATTTAGACTCTAGGAGGTAGACAGGTGTCCTAGGGAAGGAATATCCCGGAAGAAAGAATGGCAAGTAAAAAAGCTGATGTGGCTGAGGTGGAATGAGCAACAGAGAGAAGAAGAAGAGAGGGATGTCCGAGAAGTGACAGGGATGGATCATGTAGGGGACTGTAAGCCACTGAGATGTGGGATGGAAAGCCACTAGAGGTTTTTATTTCAAACATTAATGTAATCTGGCTTTTTTCTTAATTGAGGTAAGTGTACAATCAGTGGTTTTTAGTACAGTCACAAGGTTGTGCAACATTACCACCTCTAATTCCAGAAGAACTTCATCACCCCAAAAAGAAACCCCATGCCCATTAGCAGTCACTCCCGCTCCCCCGCCCCCTTGCCACCAGTGTCCCCCTCAGGCCCTGGCAACCACTAATCTACTTTCTGACTCTATGGATTTGCATATTCTGGTCATTTCATATAAATGGAATCACACTACATGTGGCCTTACTTTTACATCTGGCTTACTTTTTACATGGATGTCTCTGGATGCTGCGAAGGGAACAGGCTGAAAGGCAGCAAAGACAGAAGCTGGAGGACCAGCAAAGGGAAGAATGCAGTAATTCAACTGAGAGATGAAAGAGGCTTGAAATTGGATGGGAAGCAAGATGGGAATAATGGCCATTACATTCTGGTAAACTGGATGTCAGGTATGAGAGAAAGGGAAGTCAAGGACAATGCAGGCTCTCAGCTGGAGCACCGGAAAAGAGATGACATCAACCCAGGGAGCAGGCTGGGGGAGGGGCAGATCGAGAGGACACAGCAGGGGCTGGATTCTGGAGATGTTAATTACACCTGGGATGCTACTAGCCTTTCATGAGAAGATACCACAAAAGGAACTGGACAGGAGTCCGGAATTCAAAGGAGAGGTCTGGGCTGGAGAAACACATTTGGGAATTAGAGAATGAAAACATTAATACCACGAAACTAGGGGAGATCACCAAGGGAGTGATTATTATAGAAAAGAGGGGACGCCCAACCAAAGGGTCCTTGAGCATGTCAATATTTACAGGTCAGAGAGATGAGGAGCAACCAACGAAAAAGACTGAGAAGGAAACACCAATAAGGTGGGAGAACCAAGAATGAAATCTTAAAAACCAATGAAAAAAGTTATCACGGCAAAAGGCACTGTCTGCTCTGTCCAGGGCTGCTCATGTGCCACATAGTGGGAGGCAGCGGGGGCGGGGGGGTGGTTGTGGGGGAACTGAGAACAAACCACTGGGCTGAGGAACCAGGAACACAGCAAGCTGTCATTCACAGAGCACAGATCCTCCCTCTATCGCTCTGGGTCACTCTGCTCCAGCCACACCCACCTGTGCTTTGACACTTCACGCGCCACCTGAGCACCCTCCCTGGGTGCAGCTTTGCCAAGGCACAGCCTGAGTGGAGAGGGAAGGTCAAAGGCCTGACCACAGTGGGCTCAGGAGACAGTGGGAGGAAAAGGATTACAGTCAAGGGCAATTCTTTTGAGGAGTTTAGCTGTAAGGGGGATGGGTGGAGGGAAATAGCTATAATGGGGGCTGGGGCAAAGACAGGGCTTTCTGTAAGATGCGAGAAATACAAATGTAAAGAGGGAGGTAGATGATAAAGGAGAGAGCAGAGAATTGCTGGGACTGGTTTCAGGAAGACAGTTAAGCACACTTTATCTGTTTATCAAATAGTCTGCAGTTAAAATACAAAGCATCTACTGGTGTATGAAAAGCAAGTAAAGATTTGCTTTTCATTTTTCCAAGAGAAACAAAAAAAAAAACCACATCATTTAAAATGATCTGGATCTACTTTTCAAGGCTGAAGACATTGGATTGATTGTACACAGAAGGTCAGGGTCAGGGTTAGGCTCTGGGCTTAGAGTCCTAAGATGCAAGTTCAAAGACCATGACAAGTTACAACATCCCAGAATCTTTTGACCTCCCCTTTTCATCCATTAAATACTGATTAAAAACAACCTGTCCTTTCTACTTTATGTAACTGATGAACTAATCAAGTGAAATACACAAACACTGTAAGGCATTATCCAAAAATGTAAGGCTAATTTTTAGTGCTATTAGATAAGGAGGAATTGCATATGCTTGGCCTTATTCCAACACCTTATACTTTAGCTCCAATTAGGGGGGGAAAGCCAAAATAAAAATATTTGGCAGAATAAGTAAAGTATGAAAAAATAAAGGCTATCTGATATTGTATTTAAAACACACTCAATAAATTGTACAGGAATTTTGCCTTAATTTCCTCTTTTACAGAACTTAACAACCCCAAATCCTTTAGTTTAGATTCAACTGAGACTGAGGCAAAAAAAAGAAGTATACTAAATTTGACTGAAGGCTTGAAGCAAGCCCATGCTTACAAAAAAGATGTAACCTAGTATCTTTCCATGAATCTCTCTTATTCTCCATGTTCCTTACCACCTGCCAGGATTAACTCAAGTCAAAAGGCTTTCATCCTTAACTTCTTGCCCAATAACAGACATTAGTAGGTATTTAAAATAAGTTTAAGATTATTATATTTATTAATTAATTTTTATTTCAGGCTGTATAGTGTATGGATCATAGTTCTTGCTAATCTTGGTCAAGCCATGAACTTTTCTCCTTATTTTGTCAGGTCAACCAGGAAACAAAGGCATATGCTCACTTTTTCTAATGAGAATAAAGAGCATCTATCTTTGCCAAGGAACTGTTAACATAAACAATTCTGAGATGGAATTTACGGTAGACACCAAAGGTGAACTCACCTCATTGTTCAAGCTCTCCCTCACATTTGATCAGAACATTTTGCTAAGAACTCAGCTGGCCATGATATCTCCCAAGATTTTAAAGGGAAGTGTGAGAGACAGAAAATATCAAGAGATACATACATACCTATGTATATGTATGTATGCCACTTTGCTTTAAACTATGTCTCTCTCGGGGCGCCTGGGTGGCGCAGTCGGTTAAGCGTCCGACTTCAGCCAGGTCACGATCTCGCGGTCCGTGAGTTCGAGCCCCGCGTCGGGCTCTGGGCTGATGGCTCAGAGCCTGGAGCCTGTTTCCGATTCTGTGTCTCCCTCTCTCTCTGCCCCTCCCCCGTTCATGTTCTGTCTCTCTCTGTCCCAAAAATAAAAATAAAAACGTTGAAAAAAAAATTAAAAAAAAAATAAACTATGTCTCTCTCTCTTTATATATGCATCACTTGGCAGAGGAATCAGAGCTTCCTTGGGAAATCACATACAATTGAAAAGAAAAAGAGCTTAATTATATCTAATTATAAAGTATCTTCACCTTTATGACATATTGTTTGTATGTCAATAACATATTAGAGGGGCGCCTCCGTGGCTCAGTCAGGTAAGAGTCAACTCTTAATTTTGGCTCAGGTCATAATTTCGCAGTTCGGTTTCAGGGATCGAGCCCCATGTTGGGCTCCACCTGAGAGCCCGGAACCTGCTTGGGATTCTCTCTCCCCCTATGTCTCTGCCTCTCCCCCACTTGCACTCTCTTTTCTCTCTCAAAATAAATAAACATTAAAAAAATTAACATATTAGATACTGATTCTTTACTGAGAATCCTAATCTGCCACTAAAACCTCAGTTACTCTCAAAAATAATTCATTTATATAATGACCTACATTGTAGTTTACAGGAACAGATTACTCTGATGGGGAAGCATATCCACGTAAAGCTCCCTCAGTTACAAACTCCAACAGCACTGGGGAAAGGGTTTATTTTGAGCAAGTGATATTTTTTTTAAGTTAAAACACATCAATTATGGGGCCCAAAGTCATTTTAAGCATCATTTTTAATTCGGTTATTTTTGAAGAAAGTTTGATCATAATACACATTACCCTAATATGATGTTATAATAATTATTAACAATATAATTAATTAATGTCATTGTTACCATTAGTACAATGTTAACTAATCTTGATTACTTAGGGTCATCAATATGAATACCCAGCAATGGACCACATTATGAAATCTTCACAAATAGGATTATCTAAGGACATGGAGCTTCTCACCCTCACCCTACAGGCTACACTTTTTCTTAGATAATAGTGTCTATCTCTTACAGCTTTCCTGCCCCCTCCCTCCATGCCATGCAGGGAGGCCTCCAGTCATCTCCTGCTCCCGAAAGCAAGCCTCTATATAGTGGGCACCCCATCTCCATGCAGCTATCTGTTTATTCTCAAAGCAGTAGAAACAGTCATGTGCCCAAAGAGAAGTGCCTCGGTCCCAATCCAGCTGCATGGCTCCAGAAAACACATGGAATCCCTTCAGGAATTTGTGTCCTTGTCCACACAATGAAAGAACTGTCCTGAATGATCTCTTAAGTCACATCCAACCTTAAGACCTTGTGATTCATCTTGCTAATGGCTCGGAAAACTAGTATCTAAGTTCATTAGAACTGTGCCCAAAGAAGGAACAGAGAAAACTCTGACAGAGGACCTCAGAGGTTCCTGTGCTTTGGTATGTGGAATTTATACCATCTTATTTTTCTATATCATAGACTTTTGGGTCTTCTAGGCTCTTCTTTACATTTCCCAGTAAGTGAGGCTCTTATTAAATGGGACAGAATGACAGTAAGAGCTTTTTAAAAAAGAAAATGATATAGGAGTCTTACACAGTTCTTCCACATAAAAGATAAGAATTCAAGACACAATTTTCAAACATCCAGAGTAAATTATTCCTTTATGAAAACTTTTGTTTCTGAATGCATTTACATTTGATAGACCAACAAAACGACACTGTATACTGGAAAATGATTTACCTATAACTACATCATGACCATCAACCAAGCCAGCAGAGAAGAGCTCCTGAGATACGCCATCTGCTGTATCTGTCCAAATGTGAAATGAATACGTATTAGTGACCGTAAAATAAAAAGCAACAACCCATTACAATGTAAAAGATATATTTTTCATTTACAAAAAATCACCTATGTGTGTTTTAATTCAACAATTTGGATTCTATCAGAAGGAAAGATCAGAAGTGATGTGAAATATATTTTGCCATATGTAATTTGCATCTTTGCATTCATTCAACAGAGGTTATGCACAAAATTATTATTTCATTTTTAGTGAACCAAAAAACATTTTCCCTTTGGCTACTATCTGAATTAATCCTCAAATGTACCTCTGTAAGTTAGCTCACAACTGGCCCCAATGACACTGCTTTTCTTTCTTGCCAAGGTTAATTCCAGCCATCATCAATCCTTTTCTATCATTAGTAGCCACTGAGTCAGAATTTATGGCAAAGGTTGAACAGGTAGCACTTGACACAACCTTATATTTGATACAAACAGCCTTTGAGCTTGTTGGACTATTAAGATGAGCTATTTAAATTTATGCTATTAAGAAACTCCTTTCACATGACATTGATCATTTGATAGCAACAGATTCATTCTCTTAGAAAATGTGGTTGAATAAAAGAATGTAGTTTCTCAGTGATAAGTGACAGGAGTTAGGGATCTCATAAAGATGGGACAGGCTGTATCAAATGAATATAACCAAAATTACTTGAAAGGCTACAAATGAACATGGTAATAGTGAGAAGTCTGTTTGAAGACTTTGTAAAGAGAAATTGATAAATGGCAGTGTGCTCAAAAGAACCACTATGAACCTCCATGTCTTCCCAAAGGACATGACACGGTCCCCATGGCCTTCTGACATTATCACAAACATCCAGAACTGTAGATGGGTAAGAAGAAACTGGCTCAGCAGCTGGTAATAACCTAGATGAAGGTTTAACTTAAGTGTCTTGCAAAGTCAGGCAGCACCTCAAAGTATTGCTGGTGAATCAAACAAGCGTCTAAACTGAATTGCAGTTTGTCATACCTGAGGCTGCCCTCAGTGTGTGTGTGTGTGTGTGTGTGTGTGTGTGTGTGTGTGTGTGTTTCTATGCTCACACAAGCGTGTCGCTAAAGGTAAAATTATCTTTCACATTTGTGGGCTTTAATATACTTAGCCCAGTGTGTGACACATAGTAATTACTCAATAAATGGTTAACTGTGATGATGATGTGCAGCCAAAGCTCATCTGAAATGTACCCCACGCTCTACTGCACTTCCTTTCTCCCTTTCATACATGGCCCAATTTCCCAGATCTCCAATAAAAAACCTGAGGGCCAATGGATACTCTTTGTACATCCAAAGAAAATGTCGCATTCCATCATTTTACTCATTCCATTCTACAATGAATGACATGGAATATAACATGAGGGAAATGTTAAAGAAAAAGAAAGGAATTTTAACTAAACTGTGAGATTCCACGCCACGGGGGCTAATATTGGGGCTTGTCCTTATTATTAGAAGTACAAAAACACCTTATAAAATTCTCTCAGGGATAAAATGATCCCATGGCATGGAATCTAGGGTGGAATAATGAGAGGCTCTACTCTGCATGTGATTTAGCTTTGTGAAGTCGACACTCAGCCACATAATCTCATCCTCCTGATGCCACTGGAAACTTGACTACAAAAAGTATATTGAATTAAAGTGCCTACCTAGGCAGTGATTACATTTCTACTGACTGATCATCGGTTAAAGCATCTGGATGTGTTACTACCACCTCTAAAGTATCAATAAGGTCTAAGAATTTACAATCGCAGAATGTAGTTGAAAATGGAATAATCAAGCAAATCCACATTGTGGGCTAGCACTAAAACAGTACCAAAGCAAATGACATTCTCAAATGATTCAAGTTTCCAGCATCTCCTATTTTCAGGACTCCTGAATATTAGATGAATCACATTAAAATAGCACAAGGGTCATGTTGGCCATTTTGATCCAAAATAGAAATATTCCATGCTTGTGTGCCATTAAGCAGTTATCTTGTAGGCATGTAGGTAATATATCAGTAAAGTTAGGAACAGGAACTTGAAGCTAATTGGTGATTTATTCTTCTTTAAGCTGCTTAAACATTCCTAATGTGCAAACAGGTGAAATAATCATAAATAATTACATATGCTCTAGTTTCCAGAGTATACAGTAAAATAATAAATGCAGAGGGCTTACTCTCAAATGAAGACAGAATATTAGATATGTTTATGTTATACATTCTATGCTATATTACACATTTATGTATACATAGAGCACAGATGTATGTATATGTACGTATGCACGCACACATGCATGCACAGATGTAGTGTAGACACCATCTGAATGAAAAGACAGCATCAGTATTCACAGAGGTATGGTGATATATCCATGGTGTTTCCATTACTAATGGCCTGTGCTCACTGCCCTGCGATGGCTGGCTATCCTCAGGAAGCCAACACTAAGGTTTCTGGTAAACAAAAGCAGACTCTTAACCTACAATGGCAAACGAGGCTGCTTATGCCAGCACAAAGGGCTAGGTAATGCTGACAGGGCCACCTTCCCCCTTCCCAAATCCTCAATTCAGAAATTCATTTCTTTGCTTTCCCTTAAAATTAATTTTATTGCCTCTGTAAATTTTAGATAATTAGATGAAAAAAAAACCCCAACCTTTAAATAAGAAGTTGTTCTTTTACTTACTGTACCTGAAACATTTATTATGGAATTACTAGATTTTGTCACAGTATTGGCTGGTCAACATTCTTATATTAAGAGACAAAATAGAGAGCTTCTGGGTAACAGTAACTGGTGCTGTACAATTTCATAGACCGGCTCCAAACTGTCAAAGATGGATGTTCCCAGAAGAAAGATCAATTAGCAAATTTGTTTAGGCCTTTTTAAAATATATAGTTTGTAAAAGGTACTTCGTATGTTAGTTTAATTCAAATATACTGGGAATCATAAAATCTTTAGGCTGACAGGGGACTAGATATCAGGGCCAGTGTGCCTTGACCACATATGGCCCAGGAACATATTTTTTTGGCCAGCAGTGTTTTTTTTGTTTTGTTTTACACTGAACGTGAACAGACAGAACTGCCTGGTTTCCTGAAGCTCACACCCCCTCCCCTCCCTGCCAACCCCAAACATTTGCTTTGGCTCCTGTACACATCTGAGTTTGTATCTTCTTACAGGTTCTAATAGTAGGGAGGTCAAAGCAGTCAAGTGATTAACCAGGTAACATGCTGGAAACTTTCAGATTTTCAAAATTTTAGGAAATCAAATTTAATCAAATCAAAATGTACACGGAGCTCTAATACGTAAAATAATTACAGACTGTTGTTAGTTTATATATATTAATATAGTCAAGTGTATGAGCCTAATGTATTTTGTTTTAACAATAAAACAGAATGTATTTTAGAAGGTTTTCAATAGAGACACTGAGGCTGCTTTCACATATTTAAAAATCTGAAACCGTCAAGAAGAAGAGTCACAGTCTCAGCATCAGCATCTGATTTTCAGCTCTCTGGGTTGTTCTGGTTATACACTAAAGGGAGGAAATAGCAATTTTTGCTTAACAACTAATCTTGCGGTCCCCAAAGCCTGTTCGTAGATGTTATTTATCCATTAATTAACCAAAACTACTGGAGATTCTCCTGGATAGCAGGCATCTGCCAAGTGCTAAAGATACCAAGAAATGCGACATAGTTCTAGAAACTCCAGGCATCCAGGAGCTGAGAGAGCAACCAGTCTAGCCTTTAAGCTGTTTCACTAACTATTTAAAATATTAAAATTGTATTTAGAAGCAAGAATGGCAATGTGCCTACCAAGGTGTACCAACAGAGACCACAGACATTCCTCCCTCCACACAGGCTTCATATAATATGAACTGAGAGCAGAGGGGCAAAGTGGATCCCTTTTTTGTGTGACAGCTCGTTTGTTGCTCACCTCTCATTAGGATTGCTCTCTGTTACTCATTACACTCACCATAACGTCCTTTAGGCCCTGTGTCCCCTTGCCAGTACTTGTTCTCATGGTTGAGCTAACATAGGTAATTTGTACATGTATGTAAACCACGCAGCATGCCACAGAAACTCCTGTAGGCAGTAGTGGCTCGGTTTGGATTCCCCACAATTATTGCAAATCCTTCACTGCTTCTCTTCTTCCTGCCTTCCTTCCTTCCCTCCATCCTCCTTTCTTCATTTTTAAAGAAAGCATTTTCAAATAGCAGATTATAACCACACACTTGTAATGAATTTCTTAAAGGCTCTTTGCAGCAATAAGATAATAATTTCAATTAAAACTTACCTCTTCCTGGAGTAAACTCAAATCGTATGTCATTAAGTTCCTTTCTGGAGTTTCTGAAATATATAACATGTAGCACATTAAAATCCAACGAAGTGTAGTTTCATCAAACTAAATGTATTCCAATCTTTATAAGATGCTACTAATAGGTAGATAGTGTTTTACAATTTTGGGTTACCTCTGGGTACTTCCTCAAATGGGAGAGATAGTTATGACAATAATAAAGGGAGATATTTAAATGACTGAATTTACCGATATAAACATGTTTATTTCCCAAAATTCCAAAAATAAAACATTCTTTTATAAAATCTATACTAAATCAATAACCTTCAATATAGTTCCATAATTAAAAATTTGAGAAGATTTTCATCTGGAATAAATAATATTCAATACACTTTTCATATTTTTCCTGAAAATAGCATTTTATCAAATTATTTTTAAAAAGTGAAACAAACAAGGGTGCCTGGGTGGCTCAGTTGGTTAAGCATCCAACTTCGGCTCAGGTCATGATCCCATGGTTCGTGAGTTTGAGCCCCATGTGTCTGCTGAGCTGCTTCAGATCCTTGGTCTCCCTCTCTGCCCTCCCCCGCTCATGCTCTCTCTCTCTCTCAAAAATAAATAAATGTTTTAAAAAAAAACATTAAAAAAAAAGTGAAACAGGAAAAACAGTCTCAGTGGTAAGGTTTATGACAATGACAATACTATGCATTAAATCACGTAACAAAATGCCCCCAAAAGGATGTGTATTTTGTTATTAAAATTTTTGCTACATAGAGGGGACCCCTGAATGTTGTTTAATTATCCACTGAATATAGAAGCTTTTTTTAAAGTTTGTTTATTTTGAGAGAGAGGGGGGTGGGGGGAGAGACAGAAAGAGAGAGTGAGAGAGAAGTAGAGAGAGAGAGAGAGAGAGAGAGAGAGAGAGAGAATCCCAAGCAGACTGCACTCTCAGTGCGGGGCTTGAACCCACAAACCAGGAGATCATGATCTGAGAGGAAATCAACAGTCGGATCCTCAACCAACTGAGCCATCCAGGAGCCCCAAATAGATAAAATTTTTAAAACTAAATATAAAATGCTTACATAAAATTGTAATACATATATACACGTATATTCAATCCAAAAACTGATACTAGGTTAATATGGAACAAGCAAATACCTAAGATGTGAGTTTTCCATTTATATTAATTTCAAGAAAGGATATGGGGCAGTAAGTTATAATTAAAATGGCTTTAAATTCTCATAAGAACACTAAAATGTTATGATAAGTCTCAACAGATGCTACAATTAAAGTTAATAAAAACACCATAAGAAACTGCAGTAGGAAACATGAAATAGTAATTTCTGCAAACCCTCAACTACTTGCTCAGCTGCCAAGGGTCCAAGCCAGAGACCAGAGATGGCCTGAATACCCATTCCAAACCTCCTCCTTCTGGTGCCAGAAGAGTCTGATCAAATCCTGTTAAGGAGTCCTGTTTGGGATCCTGGAGCAGTATCTCCTGGTCTCTACAAACAGTGCCCACATTATGATGCCACCAGCCTGTGGGCCCTTTTTGGTCTATAGCCTGACCTTGTTTCTTTAGGCCCCATGACATTCTACCACAGTAAACACAGGAGGCCCAGAAAAATGACAAAGGCATGTTACCGGCTTAGAGAAAGCCCTTCTCCCAGGGCCTAGAGATGTGGGTTCCAGTCTGTACTTTTCCACAAGCAGAGAAGTGAAGAGTCAAGAATTCAAGAGATGCCCAAGCCCAGGCCACAGACATAAGAGCCCTGAACCACTATGAATCCCTTCCCAGGTGTCCCCCCACCTTGACTTTGTGACTACTCTCAGAGATAGAATAGGACTAGGGGATGACAGCAATTCCTAAAGCCGGGCTTCTTTTAGGAACTTCTGAGAATCTGAAAACTAAAAATCGTGAACTCTCTCTAAAAAGGGGGCATATGACCAACACATGAAATTGCAGACAACTGAAGATGGTTCAGAGATCAGCTTAGACCTCAGACTGAGTGACCCTCTCCTGAACGTGGAGTGGGCCATGAACAATCAGTGCCTTCGAAGGAAGGGCTGTTTTTGCCTGTGGCACTGTTTACCTACCAGTGTCGCCACACATTTACATAGTGCTTTCATATGTATCAGCAGTTCTTCAACTGGGTTTTTTTTTTTTTTTTTTTTGTAAACTTCCATAATGTCTGGCTTAAGATAGATGGATTCTTATTTTTGCTTCTGTATTCAGTCTGTTGCAATATCACATATCACATTGCCAGCCACTGGAAAATTCCACTCTACATGTTGCAATCATGAAAGTGAAAAAAGCACATAATTTCTTAGTGTTATTATAAAAATAGTTTTGACCTCATGGGCTTCCTAAAGGGGACTCAGAGATCCCTAGGGCCATAGGAGCACACTTTGAGAAACATGGATAGCAAATATCATGAATCAAATCTCATTTTCTTCCAGCAATCAACCTTTGAAATATGCAAAGTAGGTATTACTTGTTTTCCATTTTTTAGATGAGCACATTCAATGGCCTTTCCACGTTTACAAATTTAGTGGCAGAGTGAGGACCAACAATTTTACATTGGAAATATCTAATACAAGTATAGAAAAGTGGATTTCTTTTCACTTTTGAGAGAAAACAATATTCCCCAAGATTTTGCGTATTACCATAAAAGATCAGCAAGCATTCTTTTTAACAGCCTTGGTTTTATGGGCTGTATGTTAAAAAGGCTGAATTAGTACTAAAACAGTCCAATAAGGGAAAAAAACGATCACTAGGAAAGCAAGTATTTATAGTGTATTTAATAATGAAATGACAGAAGGAGAAAAAAATGAAAAGGAATTTGATTTGATGGGAATATATGTCATTGTTCCTTTCCTTTCCTTTGGCCAGTCTTATCTAAATTAGTTTGTCCTACTAAGGCCATGAGAAAAGAAGTATAAGAACTGTACCCAGAATATCTTCATGCACATCCTGATTCTTTAAATATTAATACCACAGAAGTAATATCCAACACCCATAATCTCTATCTACATCAACTATGGCTCAAGTTATGGAGGTGGCCTAGTCAAGTCATTCTTTTATGACTCTGAACCTAAAATACTTGCCTTTGAAAAGATCACAGTGATTGATTGTGAGTAGTAGACTTGTCTCATCAGGATGAAATATGGTTGGAAAAATGCCTAATTGGATCTAACTACTGAAGGTCATCCTTTTATAAAGAATTAATCTTTTCAGACTCCTACTTAACACCTTTAATTGAAAGTACATTTACTTTAATTGATATGGCACAAGATACTCTTGATTTCAGAGAAGCTGAAAATAGGTATGATTTAAGGCCGGAAACTAAGTCTGTGCAACTTTACAGAGGAAATGTTTAAAACTTGAAAATTAACAGCTTCAAGACCCAGGCTACCTTTGATAACTCTTATTAAAAACACTTTTAATACTAAAAATGACCAAAAGAATCCCACAACCCAACCCAATGAAAAACATACTCCTAAATTCAGTAATAAACACAAACCCTTATTTCTCATTATAGGTATACATTATATCATAAAGGCAAAGGTCTACAGAACTCAGGCAGAATATATTTTTTAAATAGGTAATGCCATCACGTGTTTTAAAACCCAAAAGGTACAACAAGGTATTGTATAAAAACTGGGCCTCCTCTTGCCACTCAACTACCTGGTCCCCTGAAAGGTTGAGGTTTTTTGTGCATCCTTCCTGAAAGGTTTCATGCATATATTAGCAAACAAACATACATAGTTCCTTCTAACCTGTTTAATACAAGCATAGCATACTATATCCATTGTTCTATGCCTTGTCTTTGAACTTAATAGTATACCTTGGAATTTCTCCATATCGGTTCATAGAAAGCTTTCTCCTCCTTTTTTTTTTTTTTTTTTTTTT